AAAAAGGGATAATGAATTACTTATGAGAAGTAAAGAGGTCTTTGACTCCATTTACCAAGTTTTATGATTTATTTTAGTCAATTGCACCTAGGCACTTCTCCTATTTTTTTACCTGTGAAGTGGGAAGGATCATCACATCTTAGGGTTTCTGTGATCCTTTAAAACATGGCAGATGAAGAATGCAATAGAGTTTGCATAGGAAGCACTAAAACACAGAATTTGCAATATTAATAAGCAAAATTATTATACCTGGAAAGTAATTTGCCAACTGAAACTTTTCACAGGGGAAAAGATGAGATTTCATGGTGGTGAAAACTTTGGACTTCATGATCCAGATGAAAGCTACTGAGACCCTCTACGCCTTCCATTTCCTACTCCACTCACGTGCTAATCTTTGAAATTTCATGTTAGGCGCTATCCTTTCAGCTCAACTGTCTTGGTTTATGCCCCAATTAAAATCACAATGGAATAAGAGAAAGAGATAATGGGTGTCATGGGGGGCGGGGGGAGGTGTGGGGCATAAATGCTTGAAGTATTGAGGTGAAAGCCCAGTAGAGCAGGATAGCATAAAGAAGAAGCTAATTTTCCCCTATTCTGATTTTACCCACCCAAATATTCTTACAAGCGTCTGGCTCCTGACAGGTGTGCCTTGGTGAAGTCTGGGAGGTGCTGCTGCCACGTCTGCCTTTGATGGCCATGCTCCTGATGACCAGGCACGCGTAGAGTTCTCTCAGAAATTACAGGCTACAGACATCACACTGTGAGCATTCAGATAGAGATGTGTCACTTCTGCCAGGCTCTGTGCTTTGGGGCCATGGTTCCCACTGGCCATTGCTGCAAGAGAGGTGCTTCCAGCTCAAGAGTCTCTTAAATCTCTTACATGTGTCCTTAGGGTCCTGTGTGGGGAGAGAAGAAGCAATCATAGTAGGCACTGTTTGCAGCTGATTATTCTCTAGAGTTACAGATGCAGAAAACAAATGGAGAAATATCCCCCACTGATTCCATTTCTCTGCCCTTCCTGAACTAATTGAATCAAGCAACAAACTTCCTTGCTTTGAGAGTCCCTCACAGATTTCGTGATCCTAAAATTTAAAAAGGACATTTGTTACTTGATTCAAATAGTTCATAAATCATTTAACTACCAATGGGGTTTTTTTGGGGTTTGTTTTTTACCTACTCGTCTTTCAGCGCTCCCATTAGTGAGTGACCCTGGGTAAAGTTAAATGGTTTTATGTCAACTAGATATCCAGGACAGGTGTGGAGTCAGACCTTGTCAGCCTGGTGCTGTCTCCTAGGGGGCGTGGCCTTGTCATAAAATGGACCTTCCTCACCTCCTCCTCTCTCTCCCCCTTCACCTTTCTGATTGTTGAACACCCTGGGAACTGCTGGAGCCCTACCATGTTTCCTCTGACCCTGGATCCACAGGACTCTGCACCCACCTAGCTGTGATCTTGTGTTCGGCATCACATTGC